TGGAACAGCGCAAGACCATACCTCCTTGGTGTAAAAAAGAGGAATGGCCGCACAGTTTCAATTGTCAGTTGAATTCGGTATTTGCTGTCTTCAGTTTCATTCCAGTTGATGTCACAGTTTGCAGTTTCATTTCATATGGTTTACGTTTTGGCGATTTTCGATTGTTTCGCATTCACGCGTTTTTCTGGCGAACGTTTACGGGCATGATTTCTTGAGACCTCTGCCACTCTCCCAACACAGCGTAAAGTGTAGCAATTGATGACTGAACGAACCTGGCTGGACAATTTTGATCCTGTGTGCCACCACACGCAAGTACATTGAGGTGACACTCTATGATCAAGCCTGTCATACTACAGAGAGTGTGCTACTGCCACGATGGTACTGGTATGCTTGGCTGTGGATGGCAAACTCTGCCTCTTTGCCTTTGGTGGCAACACCTACACGGTCCGTCTCTCTCGGAAAGACCAATCATTATGTCATAGCCTTTCAGGATGCCCTTGCTGTCAGTGCTATGAACGAGGATACACCCCGCAGAAGGGACCGAACCCCTGTACTCATTGGTCTGGCCATTGTCTCTATGATGGAGTTATCGGGCGCTGCTCTGGATGAATATGATAAGAAGCTGTCTTTCTCCGTTGCCAATACATTTGCAAAATTTTCTGGCTGCGTGTGGCCTTGCCCCCCTCGGGGGGCTGTTGTCCTGTTTTGCTTTGTCATGTGGACCCGGCTTTTTGCATTGATGGATTTTGGCACCAATGTTGTAAAATCATTACGCTCTGAGTGGGATGACTTGTACAAGAACTATATACTGAGAGGACTCTGAGCGTTGCGAGCATTGCTTAGATGTATAGTGCTGCTGGGAATTTGTGTATTAGTGCACGTTTTCCTCTTTCGAATTCGTTTTGACTCTGTCGTTAATTAGTTTGGTACGCATGCTTTTGCTGTATGCATTGGTGGGTTGAATTTCCCATCAGTGCGCATGGTGGCTGTCCGTGTTTGTTTGCGTTTGGGCTCCGGCCCCTTTTTTGCCTTGTTGGTTCTTGTTTTGTTTTGTTTTGTTTTGTTTCTGTCTGCGTAGGAAGATACGCATATCTGACCGGGGGATGTGCACTTCTTCCTTACGCATTGTTGTGATTGTTTCTTTTGCCACCTTTTTTGTGTACAGTCTCTACAGAGACCTGTTTGTGTCTCTGTCCTTTTTTGTTGAATGCTTTTCACTTACGTTAAGGACCGAGCCTTTGAGCGTTATCGGCCGCACTCGAGGAAAAAAATTGTCTATGCGTCTTCAAGGAAACAGCGTGTTGCGTCTTTATCCTCAGCTGAAAGTGAGCTTCACAGGATGGTGTCAGGTTGTTCAGACGGAATCAAAAGATGCTTGGAGTTTTTGACTGGCAAAGAGGTTGAATACTATCAGTGGACAGACAACAGCGCAGCGAGACAGCTAGTCTCAAGACAAGACGTTGGAAGAATCAGGCATCTGAGTGGAAAGCTACTATGGGTGCAGGACTTGGTTTTGCCCAAGCAGCTTGCAGTTAGCCAGAGACCCACCGAGTGGAACTACAGCGACATTGGGACCAGACCCCTGAGCAAAAGTCGTTTGATGATCCTTCTGAATCAAATTGGAGTTATGGATCCCACCAATTTGCAGATGATTGGCCAGGAGGAGTACGATGCAGTTTCAAGTCGCTTGATAGGTCAGCAAAATTTGAAGCGTGTTGCAAAAGCAATTTTTTGAATGGCAACTTTGTGGGGTCTTGAGTCACTTGCTCAGAATGGCGCAGAAGCAGCGGAAATTACTGGCAGTGGTGATACGTGCGCTGCTGATGACCAACCGGTCACACACACAATTCTGAGACTTGGTGGCTACGGCTTGCAATGGCTTTCATGTTTTCGCCTTAGACCATTTTTTGCAGTGGTGGCATACATCGCTTGGAAGGCGAGCGCAGACCTTTTCCATTGCTGGAATCAAGTAGGTGACGAAGATGCCTACATTGCAGAACAAGCGCACACAATTGACATGCTGGATGGAAGGTTCTATGAACTTGGTGAAAGGGTGACTGAGACAAGCAACGAAGTCAGCATGATCCATGACTATGTGTCCGGGGTACACTACGCGTTGGTTGAAGGAGGTGACTTCCTACGTAAGGGATTGGGTCTGACAAACGAGCAGTGGATCCATCTGAACACACTTGGAACGCGCCAGCATAGTTGCACATCACATTATGGGGACGCCAAGGTACATGCATCTGGTGAGACAGCGTGTGGGTGCAATTGGAACAGCAGATTCAACTGACGCAAATCGTGGACATGAAACAGGTGAAAGCGAGACTCAAGAAGATGACATGGAGATCGAGGTGGAAAGCTCCAATGTCCAATATGGACAATCCATACAGGAGATGTACGAAACTTTGGAGCAGGGACAGCGGCTCTGCTTGATTGATGGTGAGAATCGAGATGCCTCTACAATTCAAAATCTTTTGCTGGCAGTGCTGCAGACTACCCAAACTGGTCTGACAGCACAAACAGCCAGACCTCTGAGAAATCGAGTGGCCATGACTTTCACTGACATGGCTGGTACAGCCAGGAATCAAGGGAGGTGGAACAGCGCCGAGAGATTTCAAGCAGTGGCTGCAATCTACAGTGGATGAAACTGCTTGCAAAGCAATTTCTTTGGCAAAATGTGAATATCTGAAAACTGAGATACCGGAATGACAGGCTCGAGAAAAGCAAAATGTGTGAAGCAGCGATCTATGCTCACTACTTCAAGGAGGAGTGAGAAGAATTTCCGTTCATACACATGGGACCGATGACAGTGAGACACAGTGCGCAAATCGAGATGAGAATGCAACAAGTTTTCACACATTTGCACATGGAAAGACTTGTGCATTACCCAGGCCCCCTTTGGCTGAAAAGAAACGCTGCCCGCTTCGCATTTATGTGTTCAGGATTGTTTGCGCCAGAACTGTAGGACCCGAAAGGCAAGGCAATGGTGTATGCGGGATGCAAAAATGACATTTTATGATAAATTTTGCACGGTGTGTTTTCTCCCGGCGAGGTTTTAGCAACCCCACAATATTGCGTCTGTTGTGACCTATTTTCGTACAACAAACTCATGGTCATCAGACCATGGATTCACATCCAAAGTAATTACACAATTTGTGATTGCATACTACATGACCGGATTCAAAACCCTGCCAAATCAAGAAACACCAAGGAAAAAATCCACAGGGGGTGAAAATGTACTGAACATACTGCATGGCAAGGAATTTTGTTTGACCAAGTTGCTTGACCGAATGGCCAGGATCAATCTTGATTCAGCCAACCATTAACAAACATATTTTTGGTTTTATTTACAGTATAAAAGTATTTTACAGTATATAAATATTTTGGATGATTTGTTGAGCGATGTAAATTCTCCAAAAGGTTTTGAGGCTACCTTCGCCGCCGTTTGTGGGTTCAAAGCAAAGTTGGAAACAATGGGAGGAACTTACACACATTGTCGTTTCGATATCTACCAAATGCCAAAAATTCCAAAAAACACATAATCTTCAAAGTATATGTTTTGAGCAGGACAGTATCGAATCCAAAATAAGCAACGTGTCACAGCATGAGTGTCCCAACATGGCTTGCGATACTTCGCCACAAGAAGGAACAGGTGTGAGTCACAGTGCCAGTTTGAGAAATGAAAATGGTGTTTGGCCTGTGGCCTTTCGTGCTAAACGTTGTCCCAGACGATTCGATTCCCGCCAATTCTGTTCAGGATTTGATGATGCGTTTCAGGGACATTTGGTCAGTCTTACACCATCCTGAGCAGTTTGGATTCCTTCCCACGAGGAAACGATGTGCAGCTTTCCAGCAGTGGCCCGATTGGTTTGGAAGGCACGCCGTTTTGAATTCAAAGATGATTGCATGTTTTAAAGTGGTTCGTGCACAGTGATCACCGTATGTTTTTCTTCAATTTCAAACACAAATTGTGTTGAATGGGGTTATTTGTTTGGTAGATACTTTGATTTGTCGCTGTGTTTGCTTACATAAAACACAAATCACGAAGTTCTCGCGGCCAGATTTTTTTCAAATGACTTGTAGGTTCGTGGCCGTCCATATCCGGATCCGACGACTTCAATCAACACTTTAATCAACGATTTCTACGGGCGGAGCGAAAAACACAGCAAGGCAGGTTTTCTTTCAACAAATTTTGTTGATTTTCTTTCAACATGCTTGAAATCCCAAATTTGGATAGACCAAACCAGGACAAATCAGCACTGTTTCCTTAGCAGGATCCATGCCTGGCATTTTAGATGTCAGGGGCCAAGCCAAGCAGGGTATGGGTGCAGGGTATGCATTCATTGAGCAGCAACAACAACATTGAAGATTGGAAACTGTGGAAACTACTGAGCGGCCGCATACATATAAACATGCATACATGCATACATGCATACATGCATACATGCATGGATACATGAATACATGAAACGCACATTTTTTGAGTCAACATGTATACACACAATTGCAAATCATATTTTGTGAGGCCAAACATCCATGAAACTCAGGAAATTGCAGTGGCTGAAGGACTGAGCGCCCATGCCAAAGCAGTTGGTGCAGAAGCCGATGCAGTCCTTTGTTTGCATTAATGATGCACATGGTTCCAATCCAAAAAAAAATGTTTCGAATACTCTCATGAGAATCATGATAGATTTTTATGTGACATACCTACGACCAACGAATGTATATGATTTCAATGAATATACATGAGTGCGGGCATGTGTCATTTGATTTTGTGCTGTGTGCATGTTGAATCGTTGTGATCCGGCGTACTCTTTTCAGTCTCAAGTGAGACAGCAGCAAGTGCTGCAGGGGGAACATGAGACATGTCATGACATGGATCAAATCTTGGTCAAATCATTTGACTAACAGATATCACACTTCTATGTGATTCACATCCATGTACATGACTTCACAGTTTTATTTTCGTGTTCATCTCACCTTCGGCCGGCCTAGCCATGACGCCAGACTGGCATGAGCCGCATGGAGCCGGCTTCTTTGACAATTTGGTGCCGGTCACCAAACGCATTCCAGTTTGGTTCCAGGGAGATCGTGACCATCAGACGATTGGAGCCACCCTGCCTTGGCTCGGCCTTGACACCGCCGATTGTGAGCACTTGAACCAATTTTGCTACCTTGTCCGCACTTCGCATACGCGAAACAACTTGCCCCCTTTGAGTGCGTTGTCGACGTTCTGGGCGGCATGGGACGAGGACTTATCAGAAGTCACCCAATATCATCTGGTGATGTTTGATTGGGGGGCGTACCAAGATGTTTACCGCACCATTGCTGATGATGCGGTGAACATGATTGACGATGGGGACATCGCTGAGATCCACCGATTGCAAACTTTCATTACAATGCACTTTTTCGAGCCATCGGATGTTGTGGAGACCATCGGGAGTTTGCATCGTAGCCTGTTGCAGCTGCGCGAAGACCACGAGGAGCTCCTCCGCCGCTTTGAGCGGTATCGCGAGTACACCTCTCGCGTTATGGAGTGGATCGCGAGCCATGATCCTACCATGGCCGGCCCGTTGGATCTCCTCCTACGGCCGGCGGATCTTCAGCCAGAACAATAGCAATCGCTGGCGACAATCCCATGTCATCATCGCAATCTGGTACTTCGAGCCATGAGCTCTGACTTCTGCACCATGGCCTTTTTACAATGCAATGTGAGTTTTTGGGCTTCGCCTGCTCACCAATGTCAATTTTTGGATCGCGTCGAGCTGTCCTTCGAGCACATCTCAGCACAGCTTTTCAGTGAAAACAGATAGGCTGATTTTTGCCGGGGGTTTTGCGCATCAGCCTGATTGGTCATTTTCACACAGACGTTTTGATATGTCGAATCTTTCACGGTGTTGGGGACTTTTTCACACACACACCGAAGTTTGCGACGTGTTGAAGTGTCAGTGTGAATCTTGACTCGAAGTGTACTCATGTGAGTTCTTTGGACGTGACTGGAATGTGAATCCATGGGCACTTCATCAATGTATTTCTCAATTTCGGTTAGGCTCAAGTGAGCATAATTTTGAATCGGGTATCGGAGGGCATTCCCCCCCCTCGGTCAGAATCTCAGATCTGTCTCAGTCGAGTGACTGATGATGTTTGTGATCCAGTCGGTCGAGTGACTGACATTTGGGCGCCTCAATTGAGATGAGTACTTTCATTGTCATTGGGCATGATCAGGTGATCGTGGCTCAGTCCCAGCCTCGTCAAGCTCAGTGGTCGTCCTACCTCTTAGTCAGCATCTCGGACCCATCTCAGTCGAGTGACTGACAATGGTTTTGATTTCGTCGGTCGAGTGACTGACATTAGGCATCTTCCTGTTTGGTGGGTGTTTTTCATCATCAATGAGCATGATCAGGTGATCGTGGCTCAGTCTCAGCCTCAGCAAGCTAGGTCTGGTAGTCGTGCATGAGTTCAGGACAAACCAGTAATCACTTTCAGACATTTTATTAATGGGGAGTCACAATGCACAACACAGTGAGCACAGGTCGAGTGACCTGGCATACCCCCCACGGTTTGGCCCTCAATCCATTTTATTTGGAAATCAGTGTGATGAGTATCACCAAATGATGATGCACACACGGTTCGAGTCGAGTGACTTGAGAATGATAATTGTGTCATCCGAACAAGTGTGTGGGGTCTCTCCGCACGACCAGGTCGGATAGCTGTTTATGGCTGGACTTGGGTCTCGCCCTCATAGCGTAAGGGTCGATGTTCGTTTGGTGTCATGACACAGCTGACAAGTGTCAGCGCATGTTTTCGAGTCAAGTGACTTGCACTTTTGTGCATCAACCACAATGTTTACTGGGTCGTGAGGCTTGGACATCTTTGGTCAAGTGACCTTCACTCCGTGATCGGAGTCCTGACCTCATTTTGGGAAACTTCTGGATCCACACCACTTTTGGAGTCAGCACATAGGTCCATTGAGTGTGGCGTCAAGTTTGATCGAGAGTTATCAGACATGTATTCCTCGGGTCCGTGCCCGTCCGACCGCAGGTTGACGATCCTCGAGGAAAGCATGAGGAGGGGCATCAAACGCCCGTCCGACACTGAAAACGACTCAGACCCAGAGTCCGTAACGTCCAGAACCATCCAGCTGCCTTTGCCCGAAAACTTGGATGAAGACAATGAAGTTTTTGTTGAAAGTGGTAGCCTGTGTGGACGTGACAGTCCTGCTCAGTGGGACGAGTACTCTGTCCCCTCAGCTGTCGGAGAAGCCCCTGAAGATCGTCATGCAGTTTTGAATGAGACAGATAGGAGAAAATTGAAATCCATGATAGATGATGCCTGTCTGTCGGTCAAACCGACCTTTAAGTTTCAGATGCCTTGGGAACGTAAGGGACTTGCTAAGATCTTCAATAGGGACCCGGCCAAACTCATTCCGGTACCAGTGATGACGCCCATAGAACTCTCTGAGCAAGGCAGCCAGCCTTCATCCGCGGCTCCCCACCACCTTGGGAGGACCATCAGAGGAGTATATAGTGAAGTTATCAACTTTGATACAACTCTTACCGAACAAGAAGTTGAGGAAGCCGCAATGACCAGGGCCCTAGAGAAGTGGTATATGATTTTCTCTAGCGGCAGAGAAGCTTGGCCGAGAGGGTTCGATCTGAGTGCAGCCATCCGGGAACATCGCCTGACCGACATGCAGATTCTCTTCGGCAATAGAAGCCACGGGACAGTCCTCCGCAGGGGAACCAGCATTTTGCAGTTCGTGAAGTGGTATAGAAGTAGGTATTTTGGCCTGTGCCCTTTCCCACTGTCGACAGACATTGTTGATGAGTTTGTTCATCAGATGGTGACAGAGAACAAACCAGCTTCAAACCTCAGGGGATTCATCGAGGGCCTCAATTTTTGCAAGCACGTCGTAGGAATGGACGTGTTCGGAGGGCCATCTGACCTCATTTCTGCCAAAGTGAGACGGCTCATCGAAAAACAAGATTCGATGCGCAAGGAGAAAGTGCAAGCCAGAGTACTGACCGTTCAGGAGGTCGAGTTTTTGGAAATTTTCCTCTCCGATGAAAGAGCCGACATTACCGACCGGGTTGCCTGCGGATGCATGCTGTTCTGCCTGTACAGCAGAAGCAGGTGGTCAGACATCCGGAAAATCTATAACTTTGTCTCCGACATCACAGAAGATGAAGGCAAAATTTCGGGATACCTTGAGTGCCGGACGAGATCACACAAAACTGCCAGACTTGTAGCGAAAGGGGGGATCTCCATGCCCTTGGTGGCGCCAGTGTGGGGAATCACATTGCCCCCATGGGGATTGTCCTTCTTGAAGGTTTGCAAGCTGGCACATCGGGATGTTTGTCAACTAGATCATGAACCCTTGTTGGCAGCACCCTCAGCCTGTGAGGGGTGGTCTCACAGATCAGTCACAACCAAAGAGGCAGGCAAGTGGATCAGAAACCTTCTTTCCCAGATGGAAGGAGGGACAAATTTCACAACCATCCACACCCTAAAGGGAACTCCCCTATCTTGGTGCGCCAAGTGGGGATTGGACCCGGACTGTCGCGCAATCCTCGGCCATCATGCCACAGGCAAAAGCTCAGTGGAATGTTACTCGAGAGACAATCTGGCCAAGCCTTTGCGGGAATTTGAGCTGGTCCTTCAACAAATCAGAATGAGGGCCTTCTCCCCTGACGCCACCAGGTCAGGGATGATCAAAGGTAGCTCGGTCGAAGACCCGAAATCGACCTTCTCAGTGCCTGCACAACAAGTTCCGGAACATGAAGACTCATCAGACAGCTCCTCCTCGACCACTGAGGCCAACAGTTCCGACGCATCAGAGTCAGAAGGAGCCGAAGGGCACGACCCTGTCGTTGCCCCCAAGACTTGGGACCCTGATTATGACATGTATCGCAACAGAAAAAGCAAAATTGTGCACATAACTGCACATGGAGGGGCCGAAATTTTCAGCTGCGGAGTCAAAATCAGCAGTGATTATGAACTCGTACAGAGCTCCCAATTCTTGGACCTGCGCAAATGCAAGAGATGCGCCACATCGAAGCCAATCCGAACTGTCGGACAGATGGCGTCCGGCCTGAAGAAGTGGCGACTGGCTCATGAGAGAGAAAAAAAAAGGAGCGACTTCTGGGTGATGGGAACCATGTTCAGAGACAAGTGTTTGATTGGACATGCTTTCATGTGGGCGAGTGCCTCATCTTATTCGATCATTCACATGTGATGAAAGCAAGACACAGTGAGCCCAGGCAAGTGCCTGACATTCAGGGACACACATTGTATTTACAAGTGTACTCAGACTTTGAGGTGCCGGTTTCGAGTGAAACTGAATATGTGTGCCCGTGGCTCAGCAAAAAAAAATTGATGTAGGACACTGTCAAGATGATTACTAAACAGTCATACCAAGTCACTCACTTCTCACATGCCGACCCAAACTTTGTCAAATTCAGACATGGGTAACACTCCAGGTTTATCACGAGGTTTTTAGTCATCCGGTTTCCGCACGGCTGTGTCAGTCATGGGGACGCTTCTCGAGTCTAGAGAGGCCTTGCGCTCCAGAGGTTTGGAAGTGAGCCTCACCACGGATGAGGTGAATGCACTCATCAACAACAGGGTTGACTCACTTGCCAGATTAGCTTTTGCTGCGTGCCCCCCGGGTGATGCACCCACAAATGAACAGATTGACAGCCTGTTCAATGGCCAAATAGCACCAAAATCCCGGAACATATGCATCAATGAAACGCTTGATCTTTGAAGCACAGACCTTGCTCTCTGCAGAGTTGCAAAGCAAAGTGCACAAGACCGACGAACAGGTGAAATCCAAGCTTGCACCTGCGGAGAGAGACAACCGAATCAAGGAACAACGATCTAGACTCGAAGGACTCCGTTTCAAAGGAGAAGAAGAGTGTTCACATCAAAGTTACGACATCGTGCTGAACATGATGGAAAAAGACTCACTTATTTATCTTGCTCCAGAGAAGTTCGCAACAAGGAGAAGTGAGTTAGCCATGAAAAAGGCTGCAAAGGAGATAGCAATAGACCAAACATCACTCGTTGTCAAGGACAAGACTCAGGACCTGACCTGTGCCACCACCACCGAACTCGACACAACGAATGCGATGAGGAGGAGGGCTCTTGCCTTCGACCTTGTGAAGGCGTGCAGTTATCACACGATGAATGCCTACCATGCAGAGCTCTTCGATCATTTGCACCTGCAGGCGCCTCCTGGATACTCTCAGGTTTCATTGGCACAGTTGTTGAGGGCAGACCGAGCAGCGTGGCTTCACATTGCTGAAAGGATCACCACTTTGAAAAGGGATGAGCATGGAACACTCCCTCTTGAAGACGAAATCAGCAAGGTGTTAGCCCATCCCTCTGTCAGTTTCCATTTGCTGCCGCTGCCAATGAAGTCATCGCATCCTGACAAGCCAGCAGCTAAACCGACTGCTCCAGCACCCAAGCGAACAAGATCCAGGACTCCGCCACGGGCCAACCCTGGGGCCCCAAAAGGCAAAGGCAAAGGCAAAGGTGGCAAAAACAAGAAGGGACGCGGCCCTAACATTCCGCGCGGCCTGATCGGCAAGGCCCTTCAGACCAAATCAGGAGA